AAAGGATTCAGCAGGACTTGCAGCTTGCATAAGCTCCCAACAATGTTGCTGCTGAAAAGAAAAAAGAAAGAAAGAAAAAAAAAACAATAAGGAATGAAATTGAATCGTCTCTGTACACGTAACTGTGTTTCTTGTTCAAAGCCTCTGTTGCTGTGAATTTGCCCTTACCCATGCGGGATTTGAAATCATTTTACTGAACGTAATTAGCTATAAATATTGATTAAGAGAATTGACAGGAAACTGGACAAAACAGGAATCAATTGCATATCATTTTTTTTTTTTTTTTTTTTTTGAGACGTAAACTCAACTCCATCATCGACATAGCAAGTGGGATAAAAATCAAACTAGGAGTAAGCCCCATAACTGCTTCCTTTGGCCATTCCATATAAAAGCCAATGGGCAGGAAGAACAGGAGCTCTGTTGGGGCTCCGTTGGGAGAGCCCCACAAAAAAATGTAACTCTGAATGCAGATTCAATATTTTGCAAAAATCTTCATTAGCTAATTCTATAGCCCCGTTTGCTCGCTCGGATTCATTATCTTATTGGTCTTACCCTCAAGAACCCGTGCACCTTGCCAAAATGAACAGAAAAATGAAAAAAAAATCAAGATGTCACCTGTTTTATGAACCTGCTGGTAATGGAAAAAAATAAAACGAATTGCATGTATGTGGTAACACTCTCGGAAGGTCCCAGCTGTTGCACAGTGCAATAATTATGCAAGAAATCCAAGGACATTCACCAGGGAATAAATGTCAGAGAAAAATGTTGACGACATAATGATAATGATTGCCAACTGTGAGTGCTTGGAACCCCGAGGGGGGGGGGGTAGTTGGGGCTGAGTGTACATGTGTGTGTGCGTGGAAGTTGTGCATGTGTAAGCACAAATGAATATGTAATGAGTGTGTGCTAATCAAGACTTTCCCTCAATTAGACCCGACTTAAGCACACTAACGAAAATAGAATGATTGAAACTGCTCATTACAGGAAATCATCACGAACCCAAAAATACTTCCATGTTTTTTTATTGATTATTATCATTTAGTCAAACATCATTTGCACATAAATTGCCGTACTGAAGGAAAAATATAAACAGCCAATAGATTACCAAACCTAATTAAATTACCATAAGTTCGTAACCCTTATCAAGGCGAGAAAGCACAAAACAAAGCGATTTTCCTGCTATTACTAATTATTAGCGTTAAATAAATACGTAAATTAATTTTAAAAATTGGGTGAATAGTTTTCCTAATTTTCATCATTAATGTTTTTTTTTCCTTTTCCTGAAAGAAATACCTGTTTGTTTGTACACATGGCCACCGAACTACCCAACGATTTTTTCCCTCTCCACACACACACGTACACAACGACCCGACAGTTCCGACCGTGGCCGTGATAGATCTGGACAATCATTGCCATTATTATCACTGTCATTATCATCGTCATCGTTATCGTTATCGTCATCATCGTCACTATCATCATCATCATCGTCATCATCATAACCTTTATAAGATTACAGACTATTATATCTTCTTAAACGAAAAATATATTTTACATTCAACTAAAGCAAATATCAGATCTATAAAGAAGAAGAAGATGAAGAAGAAGAAAAGAGAGAGAGAGAGAGAGAGAGAGAGAGAGAGAGAGAGAGAGAGAGAGAGAGAGAGAGAGAGAGAGAGAGAGAGAGAGAGAGAGAGAGAGAGTGAGTGAGTTTGATTTCATTTGATAACATACCAAAGCATCTATCCAAACTGGCTGTGCTTCGATTTGTGTAAAGGGCTATCACTCAAACATTGTTGTTATTATATGCTATTATCACTATATTAAAATATCATCTGGCTGGATAAAAAAACACTTTTTTATCACAAATTATATCAGAGACAAGACCAATGTCTATAATAAAGTTAAAATAATCAACAAGTACTAATTTGTGGACAGTACTTTTTGATCGATAGCATGCAGTTTTTATGTAACAGAGCAAGTAATGCGTAAGATTATGCGCACCTTGCACAGTTTGCAGTGGCGATTTGAAATTGGCTTTGCCTCCACAATTGCATCCTGTACATATTGTACGGTGTACTGATATCCTGTCTCCGAGACAGTCCATGGTAGACTTTATAGGGTTTGTCTATATCTGATGGCCCAGCAACACGTGAAATGCCAGATAGTACAATGTCCGTCTTTTTTCATCCTTTCAGTTGTCCATCCCTGACCCTCCTAATCTCGAAGGCAGCTGATAACACTTTTTTTTTATTTTTCATTTGGCTGAGAGATAGCGTTACTATATAATATGGATCTTCATGGGAAAGTGCTAACCTGGCTAAATGATCAGCTCTGTCACCTAGTGATATTCCTATATGAGAGGGTATCCAATATAGTGACACTTGAGTACACTGTTCTGATAGTTTAGAAATTTGGCTCACTACGTTTCTTAATGGTATGATATATGGCTGCTGACTGGGCATCAGTTGTGCTTGTTCAGCTGGAAATGCGCACACTTTCTTCAAGATCTATATCAGGAATTAGCACACCAATCCCTGCTGCTCCATGAGGATCAATGAAGGCATCACAGTGTATGTGTGTGTGTGTGTATGAATACCCTAAATAGATAGATAGATAGACAGACATACAGATGTGAGTTCGCGCCATATCGTAACTTCGTATGTTACCTGAGTCATGTTCTAAATTACCGTGTTTAGACTACACATAAAAAAAACATATGAATCATTGTTTAATTTCTCTCCCAAGAACATTGTGTTAAAGATGAAGAAAAATAAAATTAATGCATGATTTTTCGTCACAACAGTTGCCAATGATGCATTTCTGGAGGATCTGTTTAATAGTATATGAGATGTGTACATACTTCTGAAACCAGTAATGACGGATATGACCTTGGAACCAAATTAAAGTCAAAATTAATAAGTCTGTCTCATAATTTCTCGTAAGCTATTCTCGTAGACTTTAAGTATGCAAAAAATTGTATCACATATCTCTCTCCTTCTCGCCTGGAAATGGTTGAAGTAGCTTCAATTCAGTCATAAATATGGGAGGCCCCTAAACAACCCATCAGTACATGTCCCGTCCCCGTGTTAGAGGGAACAAAAATACAAAGAAAAAAAAATCTAATAACATTTTTGAGAGTTTGGAAAATAAGGTTTGGTAAAAGTCAGACAGTTTAGTCTTTCCTTTAATAACTTATTTGCCAGGGATGTGACTTTTGACTCAGTCAAGGGAATGTCTTGTCACTTATAGGCGGCTCATGAATTATCTAAAAAAGAATTTCCAAACATGGTACCCTTTTTATTTTTCAGTAAATAATGTTAGTCTATTATTTCTGACAAACTATTAAGGTCAATCTTGTTAACATGAGATCAATATTTCCAGTATAATTTTATCGAAAAAAACATGGCGTGTAGAGCTATATATCCAATGAACATATGGTATAATCTCGTCATAACTCTACATGAAATAAAAAGAAAAAAAGGAAAACAGCTGGCTGGCTTATTGTTTACAAAGAATGAGGATTTACACACACACACACACACACACACACACACACACACACACACACACACACACACACACACACACATATATATATATATATATATATATATATATATATATATATATATATATATATACATTGTTTTGTCCTCATTGAATGACAGACAGAGTTCTAAACATGCCATGAATGGGCCCCTTGTCTCCTACACTGTAATTCATATTAATCCGTTAGTTTAACTCTCTCAAAGTTCAGTGTCAGAGGATGAAAGGCTAAGGCAAGAGAGTGGCTCAAAACCGGCGCCGGAACGTAAGTCTCGTTCCTTCCCAGGCGTTCACTTGCACTTAAGGCTAACCATGACGGTAGACTTATGCTAATGGCCATTCCCGGCCCAATGCACTCGCTCTGTCTGTTAATTATTTCATTTTTCCCCCCATTTCGCCCATTGTAATACACCCTCTTCATCGAAATAACTGCCTCTCCAAAACTACACTGTTATTATCATTAGTTATTATTAGTCTTTACGATTGCT